TGACATCACTTCCTTTCTCAAGGAAGATCGAAATGTGAGGGAAGTTCTCACAGAGGTTGAGAAAATGGTCAACATTTTCTGCACCATTCCTGCAACTTCCTGTACATGTGAAAGGTCCTTCAGCGGCATGAGAAGACTCAAGAATTATTTGAGATGCACCATGGCTCAGCAGCGCCTAAATCACATCGCCATTTTGCATGTTCATAAGGATAGGACTGATGCTATTGACTTGAAATCCCTTGTCAACGATTTCATCAGTATTAATGCAACCCGCATGAATGTTTATGCCCTGTACTAGAAGTCTGTGCCAGGTCTAATAAATATATACAGAATATTATCAATGCAAAATGTGCTTTCTTCCAATAAATCCTTGAATGAGTGAGACCATGTTACTTAAAGGCCATTTGGACCTAGCCCCCCCCCAATATTTTTTAGAAGTGGGTGCCTATGGGTTCTAGTACTCCCTTTTAGCTGCTAACGGGCTTTTCTTCCTATGCTGGCAATGGACCTAAAAGGCCTTTTAGCGCTAAAAGTGAGTACAAGAATCCACCCATGGTGTTTAAGTGTGATGGGCTTGAAATAAACCTGAGGGCAAGGACAAGCTTTAAAAGGGGGTCCGAAGCCGCACCGGAGAGAATTCCATGCCAGACAGTTATACGGAGAGGTTGTGCCGAGGGAATTCCAGACCGGGTGGACACCCAAAACAGTTGTGCCAAGAGGAAACGAGCAACACTACAAACCTTCAAGACTACCCGCCAGTGAGGGGCATATTCGTCCTGTCTTCCTTCAACACTCACCCACAGGACGTGAGAAGTGTAGTGCCTCCATATCTACATTGTTCTTAATATTGTTAAACCACTCTGCTGGTCTGTTATAATAACCTGTGATTAAAAGGCTCTGGGTGTATAGTGACGGACTCTTGAATCCTTCCTTGATATAATGTACTAAGGCCGTGGGCCAAAGTGATCGAAACCGTCTGGGTCCGAATCATCCGCTACCACTTACTTCCTCCAACCTTATTGCACAGGAATCGGTATCATCATATAACCATAATTGAATTGTTAGCCTCCGAAGAGTAAATAGTTAAAGCACACACCGAACCTGTGACATAAGTAGTACCGTATATTCCAAACAGAGTCAGCCTGCTTTATTGGGAATAAACTGGAATAGACTGGCTCTGTTTAATCCAGAAAGCGAGCCAGTGAAGGTCACAGGTGACATCCAGTGGCGTAGCGAGGGAGGGGCTGGGGGGAGCTTCAGCCCCCCAAGTTTGGTTCAAGCCCCGCCAACTCCGGTCTAAATGCATCCTACCCCCCCCCCCCCCCCCCCCCCGGGGGGGGGGAAGTAAACCCCCCCCTTGGCGAAAACCCGGCTACAAATTTAGTTTCCTTTTTTTTCTAAAGCCTAAACACTTAAAAATTGACTTTTCACTCCCCTTGACCATCAGGGGGAGGAGAAGTAAGCACCCCCATTGGCGAAATCCTGGCTACGCCACTGGTGACATCACATAGTGCGTGAGTAGAATGTGTTGTAACAGGCAAGTGAAAGGTATAGCATGGAGAAAGATAGTGAGGGAATTTAGAGGAGGAAAGAGTCAAGGGGAGTGAAAAGTCAATTTTTAAGTGTTTAGGCTTTAGAAAAAAAAAGGAAACTAAATTTTAACACTGAAGTGGAGAGTTGCTGTCATTCAGAAAAGTGAAAGTGGCATATCGCAACGATAGTTCTCGTAAACGAATACCAATGCAGCAAAACTCAAAATTCAAGCCACCCTCTCTAAGAAATTCAGCTATTTGAGAGAGTGGGAAGAAAATAGCAACAAATATACCAAACGGAGAAGCTGGCAATGACATGACAAATATAATTTTGCAGTTTTTAGAATTATAGAACGGTTAGATCCCCTGAGAGACAACTACTCCTTGAGAAGACCATTTTCATGTGGAACCCTAAGTGATCGGCTCAAAGGGGTTTCACTGTATTTTTGTGGAAGTATGTCCACCTCATGCCTAGTCACTTGCAACTATTTCTTTGTTTTGTTCATGAAGACATCTAGCCTCCTCTTAAAACTAGTCACAGAAGGGTAGCCATCGTCACTCAATGCGTTCTACGCGTTCACACCCAACAAGTAAGAAGTTGTGTCGCAACCTACGCCTTACCTGAGGTTTACGCAATATAACCCTTTCAGACCATTCCATTCCAATGGACACTGTACTTTCATTGTGTTTATGGTAATTTCTAGGGATTCTCGTGACTTTGGGTCTTGTATTACACTACAATGGGCGCAATCATGCATGGCTCAATTCCATCTGAGGCCTTCTCTCACCCGTCAGTTTTGTCATCTTCAGTTATGTAATTACATGTATAATATATAATATATGGTATGCTATGGTAAATTCATATAAAATATAAAACCGATACATAGAACATAAAAATTTAAAGTAGAATAGCTAAAGGGCTCAAAAATGCATAAAAGTATATTATTCCGATAGTGGCCTTAATTCAGGTCTGAAAGGGTTAAGTTAGTTCCCTCTCGAATGGCCACTCCAATCGCTGGCATACCGATAGAAAGCCCACAGATTATTAGGAGCTAGCGGCTCCTCAACCTCTCGTTTCGCCGATCTAATTTCCCGCTTCATTGACCTCGTAGCTGCCCTATATTCCTCATATTCCGCTCGATCACCTGTGCGCCTATTCGAATTCCATTTCTGCTTCTTACACCTGATCAACAACATGACTATACCTGCAAGCCAGACCGGCTGTCCGAGAGATCTCTTCGACTTCTTAGGCATGTGAACATCCATGGAATCCACAAGAACCGTCTTGAAAACCTGCCACTGCTCTTCTACCGTTGGTCCTCGTGACCTTCTTTCCCAATCGACATCGGAAATGCACACGCACTTTTCCATAGTCATACGAAGCCTTCGTCGGACTATTGGTGTGTTTCGACTGTTCGATGTCCCTCGTGATTATGCATTGGTCCGAGCCCTCCAATTTATCCTCTATTTTTTGTACACTGTTTCCGGATTGAATTCGTACCACCCCACTAAAATGAAGAGTGAAGGAAACACATTTCCATAGGTTTCGCCTCAGCAGGCGATAGACAAAACCACCCATGTGTAAGATGTCACTACCTGCAATCGATAGAAGCGCTCCTATACGGGGTAAGCATTCAATCCGGAAACTGTGTAGACGGTATACAGTGGAGTGGAAAAAGAAATTGCTGTTACATTTTGGCGAATTTCTACTCTTGAAAGCGATTAAACATTTCTTTTTTGCACAGATTCCCCATACATTATTCTATAGAAATACAGTAGTCAATTCGATTCGATCTCCCTCTGAATCAATAAGAACCAAATATCTACCTTTCATCGATCCGATCAAATGACTTATGGTCGACATGTCAATTCGTTGCCATTCTTAATGCAAGAATCGGTCAAATTCGTCGAGATTTTTCGGCCTTTGTTTCTCCACGCGTCGCATAAGGATGGACCACAAGTTTTCAGTTGGATTTACGTCCGGACTGTTTGGTGTTCAGTCGTTCGTTTCGGGTACCGGTACATGGTGTTCTAAAAAATGTTTCGTTATCCTACTTGTGTGCTTTAGATCATCGTCTTGCTGGAATCGCCAGGTCTGCCCAAACTGCATTGTTGCACCATGAAGTAGATGTTGAAGAATTTGAGCGTAATAGGGGCCGTCCGTGATCCTTCTGAATGAATGGCACGATACCTGGCCTTTAATGCTGTAGGCTCCCCACACCATCATCTTCTGTCTATTTTGGGGAATTCTCTTGAGCTCCTTTTGAGCGTTCTTGAACGAACGATGCATCGTATTTCTGAACGATTGATAACATATTTAATCGAAGAACTCCGTCCAGCTCCTGTCGTTGTCTTTGTGTTGTAGTGCCCATTGTACTCGTCTGTCCTTTTGCTTCTGGGTCAGCATCGGTGTCGCTAGGGGGAACAACGCTCTTATAAGCGAGTCGAGCAAGGTGGCGCTACACCGTCCTTCTGGACACATGCCGGCCTCTGTTCTCTCGCAATTTCCTAGCAATTTCTTCCGCCCTTGTCTCGCTGTTCCTTCGAATCCGCCGACCGATCGCAATACTGTCCTCGGGCGTTATCACACGAGGTCGCCTATTACCACCCCAATGCTCCACGGTGCCTCGCTCTTGGATCTTCACTTTGGATCTCCGGGCAGTACTGAGGGGATCTTCGTTCGACGGGTGATTTCGGCAGCAGAGTGATAACCCAGATTCCAATAATGTAAGATGACTGATCAGTTCGTCGACAAACGGTTAGCACTCAAATCATGCTCCATTTTCAGCAGACTCAACACTTTTCCAAATTTGTCGTCCTCGCTGCTATATATAGCCCTTCCTTGATCTAGGAAGTTCTGGTACAATCACTCTCGAAACTTCGGGAGATATACTTCTGGAAAGTTTCTGTGTTTACGGCAATTTTTATTTGCACTCCACTGTATATATAGAATAAAATAAGGACAAAATTCTAATAGCAAGCAAGTGATCCGCCCCACTTCGTTGACCGTGCGCTCTCTAAGCAATCGGAGATGCTGAGCAGGAGGAGGATGTCCTGCAATGAAGGCGAACTCTTGTCGCGCTTACTGTAAAACCCATGACCAAGTCCACCACTGTGTAGTAAAACTTTCCGCCTTTTTATCCCTGAGAGCGATCACCATATCTCTAGAAGTTCTAAGTCGATTTTCAAACAAAGACCACCGTTAAATTCCCCATATCGAAATGCCTATTCTGCCAAAGCTTCAGGTTTATATAGAAATTCCCGGATCTGTCATCAATCCGTAGTACCACCAACCATGGTACACTTGACTCAGAGAACGGTAGTTAAAAACATAATTTTCGAAGAGCACATTAAAACTAATTTTAAAACGAAAAAGAAAAACCAAATGTCCAGACCTTGTCGTGCAACCCAGTTTGAGAACCGCTGGCAAAAGGGTTCCAAAGTACAAGGATAGTCAGCCAGTTTTATTCAGAGGGGATTCTCCATGTACAGTAGACTCACCAACTGGGCCGCCCTGAGGTTTCCAGAGGCCCGGGGCAAAACTAAACCGGAGGTCCGCTTGCGGCCCTTTGGAGGACTCCTTGGGGCCCCTTGATACCCAAGGCCAGGGGCAGATTGTCCCCAATGCCCCCCCCCCCCCCCATCACTCTGTGCGGCTCTGCTCACCAACACACTCAATCAAACGGATGACAACTCAAACGGTTTCGCTAACCAACGCACCAGAACAGGGTGGTGACTCTCGCAGGAGAACGATGTCATATGCACGAGAGATATCCCAAAGGCTCGAGCAAGAAAGCAGCGGGCAACCCGGACGCGAACATGGGACTCACTGATGTGACTGACTCCAAACTGGACTCAAGGGTACATGGAAAAGAACTCAAATGCGCTCAGAACAGTACTGCCAAAGGCAAAATGGGAGGGAAAGAAAATAAATGTGGAAAATGAAGGTAGATGGATGACAATGCTGTAAGCTTGGGAAGAGTGAGCGCTTAATCAGCTCCCACTGCTCCATGTCGCTATAGTCAAATCAGGCTTGAGGAGTACTTCACGCTCTGCAACACCATCAACAATGAAAAAATTTCCACATTCGCAGACGCCTGCATTATACCTATGATCTTGTTTGCAATGTGTCATGTTTTGCCTTTTTTTAACGGTTGTGCGCGAGGCCGCCGAATGGGATCGCGTGTTCTCCGTGTACGTAAGCGGGCGCTATTTTATACGGAGTGACTCCAATTAGATAAGTACCGGTGAGATTCGGAAGGACTAGGATGTTCAGCAACAATAACAATGGATATATTGAATGTATACAACTCGTACAGTCTACAGGCACCATGGAGGAGGGAAGTTGATAAGTCGAGGGTGACGGGAATAATTTACAGGTCACTATACAATCCAGACATACAATACGCACCGTTATACAATGTCACACGATCTCACGCACACCGAGTCTCTCGTCCACCATCTAGTCTCGCCTCCACCCCCTTGTCCCGGTCCGGGGTAGGTGTCTTGGAGGTGGGAGGTGTCCGGTAGGGGGTGGCTTCTCCTCCACTCCTTGGTGAGGTCCGCCGCTAAGCCCACACGGTGTTGGTAACAATTACGGGATATAGCCAGCAGCAGGATATCGACTATATCATCATTGGCATACCACAGCGAAATCCTGCATGAGTGGAAGTAGGGTAAAACACCCAATGTTGGGCCTGTTGATGGCGTGTACTCAGTGATGGCACGGCGCAGGAAAATTCCAAAAACTAGGAATTTGTAACATGAACACCTCTGAGGTGTGTAGGTGCTTGCATGCTGCTAGCCTATGTCACAACAGGGGTAGGCGTGCTATGGAAGCTTAGCTGTTACAATTTGTGTGTTGTGGCCCATCACAGGGAACCGGTCCATCACTGGGTATTTTACCCTACACGAAAGGCAAATGTCTCACTCAGGTAAGGAATTCACAGCCAGTTAGCCATATTCAGCAGTTGTGTCATTCTGTTCGTTGTGAGACTAATGTAATGTCTAATGTCTGTTTAATGTCTGTCTAATGTAATATCTAATATTCTATCTGACAAGCCCAATCGAGGAGTTTCGTCGTGACGTCACCACCATGGAGGCGCGCGAGATATGGATCTTGAGTGGCAAGACGTCTGCGGGAATGAATGCTGTCGTGCAGTGATTCTGGATTTGATGAACATGGTACAGTCTTGGATGCACGTTTCGTTTGGAGGTGGGAAGAGACCGTTTCCCGAAGGCATACCGAAACCTAAACCGAAACTGCCACATTCCCCCCCCCCCCCCAAAAAAAAAAGAAGCACGCTTCCGCGAGCTTCTTAATAACATATAGCTTTTTCTTTTCCTGTTCAATGCTAGAATTTCCGTGTCATAATCACAGCAAATTCTATATTTCTCTCTTCACCTCCTTTGATTCAGACTATAATGCTGACGACTCTTGCAGGAGTTCAAAAAGGTTTGTAGACGTGTTCCAGTAACCATACCAACCACTACACCTGTATTTTTTTCACTTCTCCACCTTTTTTTGCAACAGTGTATTAGGCCTAACTTTCAGGCCTCCTAGCATACTCATGTTTCCCTTGCCCAGCACTGTTCTCCCATTCAATGTCAATTTGTTGATTTTCAGTACACAGTTTGGTGTATTAAACAACTGTGCATCAAGGTGTGATGGGTCCAAAAGTTATGTTTAAGATTAGGGGGTGCTCTATACTGCCCAAGTATAAATGGGCAGGTTACTCCTGATTTGGGGTAGATATACCAGCTGGTGTATGACAGAACATATTAGGACAAGACTAGCCTATTCTGCCAAGTTTCTCTACCTGTGCAGCCTTTACAAGACCTGATGGTGTTGGACATATTTGCCTCAGACAGAATAGTTTCACTATTTCCATCAAAGGACTAAACCCTTTGGCAATAAAAATTATGAGGAGACTGGTTAGGGTAGCTGGCAACTCAGAGGTGGTCCTGATCTGAGCCAATGACCTTCACTACAATAAAAGACACTCAAGGTTTCAAAACTAGAAAACTTCGAAACTAGAAGTGAGGTTTGCATCCTTGGTTTAATTAGTAATGCAAATAACTAAGGCATAGTTCAAGCATGGCAAGAAGGGTAGAATGAAAATTAGAGTAGCTCGTGCCCCTTTGATTCCTATGACAAAACAGTCTGAGGTGAATATGTCCAAAATTGTCAGATATTGATAAAGGCTGCACAGGTAGAGAAACTTGGTGGAACAGGCTGGTTTGTCTCTGTTATGTCACTCATGCCGGCTGGTCTATCTCCTTCCCAGGTCAGGGTAACCTGTCAACTATTCATAATTGGGCAGTCTAGAGCACCCTCTAATCTTATTCATAACTTTCAGACTCATCACAAATCAGCTCTTTATGAAAGTCCTGATGGCATAACATGGTTACCACATGGGGGCTCTTTCATATGATTAATGGGGAACTACTTTGAAGCACTTGATGCAACAAAAATTAGTTGCAATTACTTTCATATAAGATGAATGCCATGCCTTGCCATGTTCATCAGCAAACCCAGAACTTGTCAATATATATTCACTATATTCCACACCCAATGCCATTGTCCAAAGGAAAAAACAAACCCAAACTAACAGTTGTAACAAATTTGGAATGCATGTAGTAACACAGCAACTGTTTAGTTTAGATGGACATTGAAGCAAACCTGCTACAACTCAAGGATTATCTTGATTTTTAAAAAATAAATAAGAATTGGAGAAAGTAAATGTGCTTGCATTTAAAATTCATTTGCTACACCTTTGCATTGAACAGGCACTTCAGCTTTCTTGTTAAACTCTGGATTGGTTATTTTTTGGTCCATATTTCACTTTATACACTGAGCCAAGTCTCTGATGTGAATAAAAGTTAGATTTTCATATTTCAGAGCTATTTCAATCTTTTGTAGTTCATGCAAGTGTTGCTGCTGTGCAGATGCATTTGAGGAATTTGATTAGCATCTGAAGAAATATTAACCAAATCTAGCAGATTACTAGTGCTAGCTAGCTGATTACTGATTTGAAGTCTTGTGAGGTTGGAATGGAAGAGGCATTGTCTAATCTATCTTGTTATTCCAGTCTTGTGATAGATGTAGCCCTAGGCTATTTAGAGCCATAGACCTACTGCATTAGAACTTTTTGATGGTGCCATTTGGTTTTTCCTCCATGTGAATAAAAAGTGTTCCAATTCTCATTAAATTAAGCCCAGGAGCCAAGGTTAAGGCCTATATTTTATCACTTATGTTTGGCCTGTATGGCCTGTGGAAGAGTCTTTACATGTTCTAATACCATTTCACCCAGATATGCTGTACTCATAATTCTGACTGACAGAGATAAAGATGGGAGCTATTCAAGAGTCTTGGAGCGAGCCACCTCACTCCTCTATCACCTGGCAACAGCTTAAATTCCAGAAGTCAAACAGAAAGAGGACAGGAAAGCGGAATAGAAAGATTGGAAAAATCTTGAAGGTGAAGCTTTTTCCTTCCTTCAAGATAAGGGAGAAACTAAAGAATGATTTTGACAAGATCTCACATACTTCCCCAATGGATTTGCTCAAGAAATATCAAAAGTGTGAATATGATGGCTTGTACAAGTATGTTCTCTGGAAGCAACAAATTGCCATGGAGCAGAAGAAGGAACATGGTAGAAGAATAGTGATATCTGATGTGCAGGCAATGAAGAAGAAACTGAAATATGCCTATTGATCCTTTTTTTTTAATACCACGATTCACTTTCAACCATTTTGTGATCAGACAAGTGCCACAAGAGTTCAAGTGTAAGTAGATGTACATTTTTACTTTTGTGATATAAAGTTGTCACTTTTGAGATGTCTTTGCATAATGTCCACTTCTTAGCTTGCATATTGTTCATTTTCCTAAAGTTTCTGCAATGAATGGAAGAAACAGGGCAAAATGTATTGCTTCTCCTTTGAGAATGGGGATGAACCTATCCACAATCTGTCCCTCATGAAGTCTGGCAGTCTCAAACAGGACTCCAAGCTCCAGCATCTAGGTTACTGCAAAGCAGGTTGCTGCAATCTCTGGAAATCTGTTGTGTGTTTTTGCATGCTACTTTTAATTACATTTGTAATAATTCCTGAGTATGGGCACCAAATGTAAGCCTTTGCGGCACCTTTGAGATGATACTTTTATGTAGGAGTAAAGTGCGAAGCAACAAATGTAGACAATGATTGACTAACTTTTTAGTCAGTCACAGTCTAGTCAAGTTTATTTTCTACATAATGGATTGTTTAAGTTCATGGTTCCTCTGTCATTGATAGAAACTTTGGAAATTTGAAGTCTGAATGTGATTCTCACTGGATTGGGAATCACTATGTATTGATACATGTGGTTCCTCATTCCTAGCAGTTGATATGTGATGTATTGTGATGATCATAGTTGCGAGCATGACTACGGTATAATTGTCAAGTATTTTAAAACCACAATTGGAATAGATATTCCAAAGTTCCAGTTTCAGCTCAATCCAATCATTTTTAGAGTCAAACCAGTATGACATGACTTGCACAATCAAATGACTGCTGCTTAGCTTCAGTTGGATTGTGACTGAAAACTAAGTTGAAACAAACCCATGCCTCATGGTGCAACTGAGCAACTATGCAATTGCTTTCAAAAGCTCCAAAATGAAATTCCTGGTATATGAACTTGCCCAACTACTTATATAGTGATCATGCTCATGATTTTGGTTTCAGCAGGCCTGTTGGACCATAGTTAATCTTTGGGTCCAGGGTAATCCAGGTAATATCAGAGACTGGTCTGGGACGGGGGATGGGATGGAAGAGGAGGTGTGAGCAGCGGCATAGCGTCAGGGGGGAGGGCACATGCCCCACTTTTCCAAGAAAAGGGGCCATAAAAAAGAAGGAAAAGACTCAGAAGTGCTTGATAACAGTATCCCAGAGTTTCCATAGCCCCCCCCCCCCACTTTTTCCATCCAAGCTACATTTATGGATGTGAATGAGCAATGAAAATGCTCCAAGATAGTGCCCCCACCCCCCAAAAAGTACAAAAGTTATTACAATTTTAAAATGGGACTTCCAATCACCATGTATATCTATGTGATACAGTCACGTTTCAAAGCTACTTTGATCCTTATCAGAATAGTAAAAAAAAAACCCACTGCACAGGTCCAAGGATTAAAATAAACTGCAGGTAAGATCCAGGACATGAAGACAGTGTTTGCTGCAATTTTTTTTACCTCTTCTCACAACTTTTCATCTATCACCCATGTTCCCAGTCATAACATACATTTTCATCTGATGCTGCTTTTTTGCACCTCTGTATGTTCACATGCATCTTGTTCTACAGCCACAACCCTTTGAGGTTGGACCAGATGGCATTAAAAACAAATGAATATCTGAAACTGTTCAATTTAGACACCTAAAATTTCAGAATTACCAGTTTCTCATAATCCCCAATGGCAAAAACTTTTTTTTCCAGTTAAATCGAAGAGGTGCAGCAAACTCCCTGACATTTAAACAACTATAAATTGCATTAATCATATGCATTCTTATTTTTCAGTGTTTGGAGCCATTTGGCCCTCCCACCTTTGAGGAACTACCTATGTCTATGCTTTGATGCATAGAATGGAACAGAAAAGCCAGAGGATTTATTTGAGGTAGATGTTATAATTGCCCAATTTTAATGCTTCCTTTGGCAAGGCTAATAAGTACCTAATGATGAAGTTCTATTCAAGCATTGTGCCCCAACATTTAACTTTTTCACTGTAATTTTTACTTATTTCATGGCAGTTTTAGGACTAGATAGCCAATTTAGTGAACCGTTGAGTCCATATATACCTTTCACAGGGCACATTTCTTAGCAAAGTCCTAATTTTTCTGCTTTCTTGCATATCCATCCTGTCATGGATTCCTAGAACCAGTACAAGTAAAAACAAAAAGTATTTGAAGAGGAGTAAGGTCATGTTCCCTCCCCCTCTCCCCTCCCAAAAAAAGTTTTCCATGACTGGATTTTTCCTGCAGCCAATTCCCCCCATCCCTGTTTCATGAGTGTGCTCTTACTATCATGTACTAGGAATTCTTGGCTTGGTTTGTTTTGATTGAAATATATAGTCATAGTTTTGGTCATATTTGGTGATATTTTGGTTGAAAACGTAATTTACATATGCCATATATGAATTACTCCAGTGTTGACATTCCCAACGTTTAGATCATTGGGTCAGGCATGCGATGACTTCCTGGGATGAACAAATATTTGGATGTATATTTACAATGTGTAAGATCTTGAGGCAAACATTTCAACTTGAATCTTGCTGCAACAGCTATATCGTAGATTGGCAAAGCAGACCAATGGCAAGAGGCTATGGGTGCATTCAGAAGTTAAGCAGCTGTTGGAGACATTTTTGCACAATGTAATGGGGTAGACTTGGCCCATTATAGCTCCAGGAGCTATTCACTTTCTGAATGATCCTCCTTCCTCTCGATATAGTCTCTTTATTTCAGGATCCAAGGAGGGTCACTCCTGCCAGGTATTTTGCATTTCGTGCAACTGCCCCTAATAATGACCAATTATTCACACACAACAGCAAACTGGTCTGCTCGATTTGACATTTCTGAAACATGGAGGTGTAGGACTAATAAAGTAGGAAGAGAAACTCTTTCAAGTGGAATGAAAACTATCCAACAATTTCCAAAAGATATGAGGAGAGAAAACAATACCATCACAAATTGATTTTTTTGACAGAGAAGCAACAGTTATTGACAGCAGAAATAATGATAAGAGAAATAATAGCAATCAGTGCAAGAATACATTCATAATAATTCAGGGGAGAAAAGAGGAAACATTCACTTGGCAGGGAGGATTTTTTCATGTCCATTTCTTAGCGACGTTTCTGGAAGGAAAACAAATCAAGACTATTAACGACTTGCAGTGTGTCAGGAGCAAGTTGTACTGCAGTCAAACCTCTTCATAATAAACCTCTTCAAAGTAAAAACCTCTTTGTAATAAGGTTTTCCACTGGAATAATCAGATTCCTATGGGACATGTACTAAAAATAAATAAATAAAAAGTGTAACTTTGTTGCATTTAATTTTGCATTTGAGAAAATGTAGTAGCTATAATGGCTCCACGTGCTGTTATAAATGCACAGTACATGTATCTCCAATATTCCAAACAAAAGGAATTCACTTGGATTGGTGGGTAAATCCCTCGATATAATAAAAACCTTCAATTGAATTTTTTTCGTGTCCCTTGGACTTTATTATAAAGAGGTTTGACAATACTTCATTAGTCAGTTACTGGTATGTCACTGGATACAAGATTCATGCAAAGAGGAGGTTGGATCATAAGAAGAATTCTGCATGATGAAATTGTGGATGAAGGTTTTGTCATTCAGAAACTGCAGAGTGTAAGAACTGATTCCATGCTGACATCAATAATATACTGTAACCCAGAAAATGTTTCCATGTGGAAAATTGTTCAATTTTCTTGGGGAGCAGGAGATGTAAAAATGTTCAAATGAAAATTTTCTCTTACCACAAGGTTTTCTATTTCTGAAGAATTTCCAAAAAATTATTATGCTTAGTTAAAAAAAAAATTAATGAAACCCAGCCACAAGTTAGGCACTCTAATCACTATCTTCTCAAATCAAGCAGTAAGCAATGCTTTCCAGCTTCAATGTCACCTAGCTACTTTAACAATGTGTAGCCCATTTTGTTTGTTTTAGTTGGCCAAGAAATCTCTGTTTCCCAGCCCAATAAAAAAAAATTTTTTTGCCCACAGGACATGATGAGAACATAAGTTAGATGGATATGAAAAATCACATGTAGCACTTATCAATATTGCAAATATTTTCCATCATGACTTTTTTTGCTGTTACAATGCCTTCTGAGACCCAGACTTTCATGCTAACCTAGACTGGACATAGGCTAAAAGGAAGATGATGGTTACCCTGTTTTCTTCAGCCTTTTGCTGCTGGAGAATGCGGAGAAGAAGCTGAAATACATCGAAGAGATCAAAGAACACCATCACTGCATCACGGACAACATCCTTGTCTCTCCAGTGGCAACGTTCAATGATGATTTGTGTGTCATACATTATGAAGCCACAGGCAACTGCCAATCCAATGTAGGGGTAGATCTGTTTGAAAAATGAACAATAATATGCATTGTCAGCCCAAGTACAAATGACCCTAATTCAACCTGGAGGTTAGATTAAATTAGGAAAAAAATCACTCAATACAATCAGCAATATTGGAGTGACTTGATGCATTGTTGAAGTTTTTATACTCTTGCATAATTTTCATAACTATTGAAAACAAATTACACAAATACATTCTCACTGCATTAATAGTGACTATACTTAGCAGGTGCATTCAGTTGTGACCTGGTTCATGCTTAGTGTCTGCCTGGATCAAAAAATGAATACTTCCAATATTTACCATATTTAATGTATAAGCTAACTCCTCTTTCAAGGAACCTATGATGATGTAAGGCAGCTTTAAGATACTTCTCTTTGATAATGCTGTCCTTGTGTCCTGGTCTTAACAGGAGCTTCAGAGTGCATGTGAACACTTCCACTCAAAATTTTCTATTTACTGAAAGTGAGTGTCCCCAAATACCAGGTTATGATCCTCAAGAAAAGTCCAGTACAGGGGATTATACATGATGGGTGGCACCCCACAGGAACAGGTGGAGAAGTTCAAGTACCTCAGGATCTGGTTCTCAAATTAAAGGGCAGTACAGAAACAAGATTGACATCTACATCTCTTGTTATTCCACAGTTTTGTGACAATTCCAGAGGACTATGGTTGAAATATATAAATTTGCATAAATTTATCTTACAATTTAAAATATCACAAGCAGTTGTGAGGAATAAAATAATGGCTGCTGAGCATGTCTCTGAAATGTACTTCATCTTATTGCTGGAAATCATTCAAACTAAAACTCCTTGGGGAAGAGATATTTTTTGTGAATGCATATCTCTTCCCCAAACATGGTGCATTCTGAATACGTTTAACTGATTAGACAGGTAGAGCCAGCTTATGGATCAAAGTTCCTTTTCTTTTTGGCGTTGGCATAATGTATTATTTAAAAAAAAAAAACAAATTTGATTTCCAGAATTTTCTTATTGCAATATCTTTCCTAGACATAACCACTTTTCATTGTTTGGGTATTCACTAGGCTATTCAACGTGGGCACTATTAATGTGAACACCATGTATAAATAATAATCCTAGTAAGTCCAACCCCCATGCAAACTATTTTAGTTGATGCTTTTTGGTCCATTCCTGCCTTAGTCTCAAGCCTTCAAATTCACACTGTCAAAAGACTTTGTCTCAATTATTTTAGAGTCAAAATTCACCTGATTCCTTCTATTCCCATTAAAAAATAATAATTCAAGGAAGCCACAAGCTCCCACCCATACCAGCATAAAAGGGGTAGGTGTATAGGTGATTAAAGTTGTTATGGCATATAAATTCTCATCAAGGCCCCCCCCCCCTCAGATTTTGGCCCTTTTCTAACTGAGCTCCAACACCCTAACTCCTCTGCTTGTCATTCAGCTACAATAACATAGCACATTTTGATATTCCTGTGTGACCCACTAATTCGACAAGAAATGTTGGTGCTTTCATAAGTGCATCTTGATTTATTTCTTTCCCCCATTAATGTATGGTGAACATACTGTGAATTCTGGTACTCTGGTATTTTCTAGAAATAAAGCACTGATTGTCTTGTCTGTCCATACATCCTCAAAAAACATTTTCCATGCTGAATGTACTTACACTGTAGACCCAAGTGCCAAGTAGGCCAGTGAAGCTTTGCAGCAGAAGGGCAATCAGACACATGAAGGATATGTTCATGAGAGTGACTCCCAAGTAGAGGTAGGATCCTCTTGGGCTAGTCAGTGCAGCCAAGGTGAAACACAAGAAAATTACTCCTGTGCCCATCAAAGCAGAGATGATGATGCTGGGATCAATGGCCACGGAGAGCGTCAAAGTTGGCCACAATCCATGTCCTACATGATTCAATTGCATCAAGTAGGAATGAATCAAAGGTGGGATTGAGACAGTAAATATGAGCTTACTCTTTTATTTCTCACCTGCAAAGAATGCAGCTGCAAGTAAGAGCCCAAGCCTCCACCTTTGGCTGTCCTTTGTTGGCTGTGTCCAGAAAATGGCCAGTGAGCAAAGCATGGCAATGAATACTCCAGCCAAGCTTCCTGCCATGAATTTCCCAGTCATACCTAAGTATGCACCCACCCCACTAGCAAGCACAGCCATGGCAGTACTGGCATAGACACTCTGCAGATATCGCCGAGTTTCTCCATCGCTATGAAATAAAAATTGAGACCAATAAAAATAAAACAAAATACAAAAAAATAGGGAGTTAGAGAACTCTTAGCTCACTGGTCTCCTTTCAGGCTGGTGAAGAACCGATCGATGAATGGCTCCTCTCGAGCACGGGAGCGATATCCCCCATCTGTGTGTGAACGACTATACATTCCTCAAAGCTTTCAGTTAACTCCCAATTACCAGTATTAAAAAATTTTCCAGGTGAAGATTCTCTGAATGGAAACTGGATACTGGAAAAATATTAAATACCTGCTGAATGCAATAATACGTCATGATACAACTATACTAGGCAAATATATTTTTACTCTTAGGCCTACATGTCAATAACATAAACCAAACCTGTTTGGCCTCAACTTATACAGGGTGTTCGTATTTAAACGCAACATAGTTAAACTTTTGCTGCCTGCTTGTGGAGTTTAGCACATGCTCTATAACTCACCAGGTTGCATATCTAGAAGGATGAAAAATATCACTGGTGTGTTTCCTTACAGATAGGCAACCTGGTGAGCTTTATAGTGTTCACCAACCTCCACCTACAGGCAGCAAAATCTCCCCTATGTTGCATTTAAATACGAACACCATGTATATCAAGGTACCAAGCTTGGGTATCACAATAGCCTAGCAGATACAGCCCAGGATTATCTTTCTTGATCACAAATAAGGCTAGGCCCATTTGTTGCATGACAGACAAAATCAATTTTGGATAAATCTCTAGGCATCACCATAGCCCAAGTTCTGTCATTCAAGTTCCCCCAAGTTCCCCATCATCACCTTGTTGATGAATGGCAAAACATATATTGCCTATACATTTTGCCAAATTAAAACAGTTGCCAAGAAAGAGACTATCAACAAAAAAAACAATTAAGGAGAGAGGGGAAACAACCCTAATCATGTCATGATAGTGAGGGTTCAAGTTAGCAGTAACAACACAACAGAAAAATGACAGCAGGTTCGGCTGTCACCTTGGTTCCAAACCATAAAATAGTAACCACTGTGCATTCTGACTCCATTCTATTCTATTGATCATCTAATTTTGCCATAAAAAAGTACCAGTTCAGCTCTGGATAGAATCACGAGCACAAGAATAAGCAATAATTAAGTAAATCCAAAATTAAGTAAATGACACCCTCTCAGCTCCCTTTTTTAAATATTAATTTCCTATAACACTACTGTATGTCTGCATCAAGTCCTCTCTAGGTTAATCTTCAATTCTTTCAACTAAAAATAAGACTTGAAGCACAATAGTGACTTCCATGTGGACCTAATGTTTACTAAGTCAAATTTATCAAACATAATATGTACTTGATAAAATTTAATGACTTTTAAATAATCTAAAGGAACAAAATTAATACATTTTGAAGGTTTCTGCACCACTTTCTGACATGAAATTCAGAGTTGAATGAATATCCAAACTTAGAACTTCTGCTCCTGTGAAATTTTTTCTGACTCAATTTCTAATAGTATACATTCTGAAAAAATCAAAGGGAACCAAATCATTAGCATTCACTTTGCAATATTGAACATATGAACCACTTGCTCTGGCTGCTAAATTTTCCATTTACAGAGGCTAACTGTGTCCTTCAATAACTTCCATCTCAGTTTATTCCAAATGGCCCACAGAGGCATCTTCAGAAATAAAATAAAAAGCTTATAATATTCAGGAATTACTGGCATAAATTAAGCCTCATTATGGAAAGCATTCCCTTTCTGATATAAAAGTCAGATGCTCATTTAACTGAAGTGAGTTATCTAGTAACCAGGGTTCATGTTAACTCACTATAGCGAGACCCTGACTCATATTTTCTTGGAGGGACTCGTATTTACAGAACATCTAAGTCCATGGAACTCATGGACAATCACCTGAACATGTTCCCACTGAGCTGACGCTAGGCACCAGGACCCAAGATTTAAGAAAGCTAGAGTGAACCCTGGTAACTGATAACTTTATGATATCCAAAAGTAAAAAGTAAGCATATACAGGGATGTCAAAAATACTGATATGAACCCTGCAATAGATCATGGAATTTATACAACACTCAAGCAAACCTCAAGCTGAATTTGGAAATAGCTTGACTCTGATAAGCTTAATTGTAGCTTAATGAGATACTTTGGTGGGGGGGGAGGAGAACCAGCTTGGCCTAAGCCAACAAGTCTGTATTACTAGCAAATACTTAATTTATTCCATGGAAGAGGCTAAATCCCAAGTACCATGGCCATTCATTGAATCTAACAAATTATGGTGCTATTACCAAAACCATACTTATAGTTGACTCATATCATGTATATTTTCTCTTAATCATCACCTTCATGCTACAATTTTTTTGTCAGATTAGAATTAATTTAAATCAATATAGAGTGCTAAAACTCAAAGTTGCTCAGGATATAATATGCTGCCCTCGACATAACTCAGTAACCTTTGAAACTGCAAGAAAGGAGCAAAGTGCTCAAAAATAAAACACCAGGGCATCTCCTACTCCAATATTACTTACAATAGACCAACACTACCCACTGACTTACTATCATATATATTATATATCAGGGCCTAGACTTGGGCTAATGTCTGCTCTGTTCACTTACCAGTAATAGGTTTTACCATATGGGCTCAGTGTCTCATTCCAATCAAAATATATCAGTGCCACTCAGGTTATTCATATTTGAGTTTAGCTTGTAAATCTTGTGTTTTCCCTTTGAAGCTTTACGCCACCACATTCATTTGTATCCACTGGTTTTGCTCTCTTTTGAACTATTTATAACTTCTCCTTCCTCCTTTTGTCCTTTTTAAACAAACAAAGTACATCCCACTACTCCTTTCTTAGCCTGTTTGTTTTTGTACAGATACTGGCTATATTCAGGGCTTTCTGGGATACAGTTATATCAATATCAACACAGCTATTGTCTTCATACCCCTCCTGCTTGTCCTTTCTTGGAAAGCAAGAGCTGGCAGCCCAATGGCACATAACTTGGAGATCAATACCGACTAGGTAGCCCAATGGCTGAGTGCGATACATAAAAAATGTGGGACCCAGCAGGATCCTGCAAATCATGACAAGGGGTTTGCCCAGGATATAAGTATCTTTGATATATGCACTCAGACTCAGCTGGCAACACATTTATAATAATAATAATATTTATTCCATCACTCTTGCATGACCATTTGGTCTGTTGAGTTTGTCAAGTCTTCCCAATCATATGAAAATATCCCCCTACAACACTTGATGCCAACCAATTGTGGAAAGGTCTTTTGGGCATATATCCCACCAGACTACTACTTCTTGGCAGGGGATTTGAGGGGGGTTTCTGTTTTCCCAAGCATTGCCATATCTAACATTACATCCATAGAACACTTCTCATGGGCCTGGGAAACTTAGTGTGCACAAGATGAAACCTGAGAGGTCATAGTGTTTTCTTGAGAAATACTCAGCTTAAAAACAATGTATTCACAAGGGAAGATGCCAAAATAGCCAACCTAAGTTCCCTATGGGCTGATGTCGACCTACCACTTGGACCATAATAAGCAGTGGTGTAAGCAGAAAATCGGCAAGGGGGGGGGTTGAAGCCAGGTAGAAACCCCAACCCTTCGCTTAGCTCCACCACCTGGAATTGATCCTCCACCACCTACCTTTTTGAAGAAATCGTGGTCTAACATCTTGTGTCTGTGGATGAACATTAGACTTTCCTCGAAGGGGGATAGCTAAAACTGGAATTCCCAAGGAAGGCTGAAATATGCAAATATGCCTAACTGCCACTGACCAGGAAGCCCAAGGGGGGGGGGGGGGGTTTGACCCCCTAAACCTCCCCCTTCCCTACGCCACTGATAATAAGAGACTGTTAGGCTTAAAAGTTACGCTGTTTCTTGGAGGCTACGACTCGATCATGGTTAGGCCTTGACAAGTCTGGAACGCTAATTGTAAATCGCAACTTAACTTAGGTCTTTGCTAGCCTCTCATTAAGATGCACAACAGCAACCATGTTATTTGTCGTAGGGTGATTTCAGAACGGCAGTTCAGTATCAATTCGGCTTTCAGTTCAGACATACGTCAGCCTGAAGTTCCACTGTGCTCGTCAGCTTCTACCCAAGAAACCTCAACTGAAACTAGCACTGGAAGTGGACTGCAGTTTTGAAATCAGCCGCAGGAGCTCCCCCTTAACTGTTCATCGAACTTACCAGACTTTGCCAGATACAAGAGGTAGACATATTTAGAGTGGTGCCAATGCACTCAGTTCGGACTAGGATTCATGTCCAGGGAGTAGCCAAGACCTAGATCTATGAGTGAGTGAGTGAGAGAGCTATGAGAGCTAGATCTACACTTCTACCACACATTTCAAACTTCTACTTTGGGTAGATCCTTTTTTGACGACATTCTCGAAAGCAAAAATTTTTGTACGCATGTTGCGATAAGGTCGCAGGAAGTTATATGAGGGCACCTCTACTTCACCTGCTGACGCAGACCAATCAGACGCAGTTGCATCTCGTATGACTATGCGTGTGACTGCGCAGCATGGTCTAGGAAATCGAACGGTGGTTGCATCATGCCAGTCCAAATTAGAGGCCTGCTGGGGTTGATTTTTAGAAACATTACCCGATCGGCACGATCTGAGCTTAGCTCCACTTTTCTCTCACTCAACCCAAAACATGACAGCCAACCGAGCAACAGAGCCCGACCTGTCCCTGAGCATGAAGGGGGGGGAACAGGAACTGCAGGCCGTCTTCCACTTTCTTTCAGAATGGCACGATGACCATAGAGATGCTATATCGTACCTTCTCCACTACAGACTGATATTCTCGTAGCCCATATACTTGCAAATTATTACAGGGTGTCCCAGAAGTCCCGCCCCAACATTGTGTATATCTCTTCCAGGCATACGTGGCAACACTCCTATGACCTTGGCATGTAAAAATAGCCGAAAATCTCCTCTACTGCAGTAGTTAGTTGATTTTAGATGGAAACTGCAAGAAAATGAATTGACTTAACTTTTCAAATCTTACCCTTTGTTACACCTTAATCTTATTCAATTGTAATATTATCCTTTGTTACAATCACTAAAAACAAAAACACCATACACCAACGGAAGTCCCGCCCCATGTTGGGGAGGGACTTCCGAGACACCCTGTATGCAAAAAACAGGTGCCTGAGCAGCGGCATAGTCAGGGTTTCGCCAATGGGGGAACTATGAGGAACAGAGAGGGGCTAGTAACTTCTCCTCGGGAGCAGGGGGGAGGGGGGGGGGCAGTGGCGGACTCATTTAGACCAGAGTTGGGGGGACTTAAGCCTCCCCCCATCGCTACGCCACTGTGCACCGTCTCTGGCAGTAAATCATTCTCATTCCCTAGGATTCCATGCATTTGTGAGATTTCAGTCCAGACGCACAGTCCCAACTCCCTTGCCCGATCTCGCGTTAAGATTAGAAATAAATAAATAATTTTAACACGAACGATTTCTGCCAACTGTAGTTCATTCACAGCGCGAAGTCAGAAAATCTATTAAATCCGGAATATGGTACATACAGGGTCATCAGAAAAAGACGCTCCAGTTTTCATTACTTACAGTATATTTCCTGCACTACATTGCCAACAACCTTATATGTGGCACCATTCAACACGTAAGGCTTGGGAGTTTTGTATTATATTAATACTATGCAGTCCTATTGCTTATTTCGAGAAACAGTAGTAAACAAGCTAGCGTGTAGCATAGAGCGCCGACTGTTTATGGTGAAAATGTTTAATCTGACTGGCAGCGTTATTCAAGTGCAGTGTGGTTTTCGAAGTGAATCTTGATGCAGGGACACTCCAAGCATATCTGCAATAAACAGGCTAGTAACAACATTTGTAAATGCTGGTAATGTGAAGGACAATAAGAAGGGATATCCTGGTTGCTTCGGAAGTGGATGTTCGAGAACAATACCCATTCGGCACAACAACGTTGTATCAACATTGAGAATAGGTTGAAACGTTGAGACTTGGTTGAAGTTGAGAATTCGACGAAAAATCAACATCAGTGAAATGCTAGCTATTCATAATTAACCGTATTTTCAGCATTTGGTGACTACTCGTGAACTAGGGAAGTCGTTCAGAGGCTATTAGGAGCAAATT